ATCTTTCACACACACACACACACACACACACACACACACACACACACACACACACACACACACACACACACTGACACACGCACACTGACACACGTGTGTGGCGCAGGCGATCCCACGGCCATCAGCAACGCCATTTTCCGCATCAACATGGACGAGTTCAACATTTACCACGACGGTCCCGGCATCACAGAGTGCGTTGATGTGCTTTTGCAAGAGAAACTTGATGTGTTTACTTGCTTGCAATGACACGTGTCCCACCTCTTCGTCTTTGTTTTTCTGCACTGTACTGACATGTACCCTGTTGTTCGTCTTCCTGCGTGCATGCGTGCGTGTTGAAATTGCCTGCAGGCTCCGACCTCACCGGCGGACACGGCACTCGTCCGTGTACTTCAACGTGACGCATTCGCTGTATGTGTTTGGCGGCCGGTCCCACTTCAGCACATACTGCGATCTGTGGCGCTTTGACATTGCAGGAAACTTTTGGCAGCCGCTCGGCAACTGCACCGACAACCAGGGGGTATGGCGCTGATGGTGGTGGTGGTGGTTGTGGTGGTGGCGATTGGTGGTGCTGTGGTGGTCTGTGTGATCAATCATCCTGTGTCCACGTGTGTGTATGGTGTCACACACGCATACTCTCTCTCTCACTCAATCACACACACACACCACCACCACCCTGTAATTGCGTGCGTTGCAGTGGCCGCCGGCGCGATCGGCACACGTCGCCTTCATTCTCGATGACTTCATGTACATTTACGGCGGCACAGGTGTGCCACTGACCGCGCCGCTGTCTGCTCACGCATGTCTGTGATGCACTCGTTGCCCCTACACTTGTGCTGAAAGGGTTATCACGCGTATACTATCATGTGCCGTTGGTCCCCACCACACATACATACACACGAGCACAAATGACACACACACATATATACACGCACATACACGCACATACACACGGGCGCGCGCGAGAGACATGTACACACAACGATCCCCACTGCTTACCCTGCGCTGTGTGTTTCCCTGTCCAGGCGACGTGAATGTGTTGGCGGACACGTATGCGGATGTGTGGCGGTATGATCTCACCGCCCAGTCGTGGCAGCACGTGGCTGACGCATCGCCAGCTGGGCCGCGGTGAGGCAGTGGTGGAGGAGGAGGAGGAGGAGGTGGTGGTGGTGGAGGAGGAGGAGGAGGAGGAGGAGGAGGAGGAGACGGTGGTGGTGGTGGTGGTGGAGATGGGAATGCACTCAATACTGTGGTCGAGTGTTGATGAGCGACTTCTTGCGAACAAATTATCCCAGCCAATCACACCACTACGACCATCCTCTCCCCAACCCACGCCATCACCGCCCGTTCATATGCACGCCACTACTCACATCACCACTCACGTGTGTTCTCTCACCACAACCATCGTGCGGGCAGCTTCTCTGCCTCGGTTACGCCGCTGCCGGGCGGTAAGAAGGTGATCATTGCACTCGGCATCGACAACCTGAAGCGCGGGGTGAGCCGGCTGGACTTGTGGGACGTGCACCACGTCGACAACGCCACCAGCGGCGATCTTGATCTGGAGTGGACACGCTTGCACGTGCGGAATCCCATTGACAGATACGCGCACGCAGCGGGCTTTCACAGGTACGACGAGCAGTTGTGACGGCGTTGTTGTTGGTGTGCGTGTGTCTGTGTTGAGTTGGGGAGGGAAGCAAAGCAGATTTGTCTTTGCTTGTTTGGATGTTTAAGCTGCATGGTGTTTGTTGCTTCTCATCAATCACACACACACACGCACCCACGCACACACACACACACACACACACACACACACACACACACACACACACACACGTATGCACGTGCACCATTTGGTGTAACTGTAAAGGTTCTTCCGTGTGTTCTCTGGGCGTCGTGGTATCTTGGAGGACCTTCAAGGCGGTGCCCTTGAGATGGAGGAAACGGCGCTTCGTTTGGGCTGCAACGTGGGCTCCTTCTCTGAAGATTTTCTGACCATCCCTTGTCAACCGTGCCCCGTGGGCACTTTTGCAGACTTTCCAGGTAACAGCCAGGGGCATCCAGTGCGCGTGCGTGTGTGTGTGCATGTGCATGTGCGCGTGTGCACGTGTGTGCGTGTGTGCGTGTATGTATCCGCGTGCATGTGCGCGTGCTCCCGTTTGGTTGTTCATGATAACTGTGGACGTGTGTTCGTGGTAAGGGCGAAACAAGCACGAGCAACGCCACACACTGACACTGTGGCATATCATCACGTGCATGTGCATATCCATCCAATATGCGTGTGTGTGTGTGTGTGTGTTTACAGGCCAGGAGTCGTGCTTTGCATGTCCCGGCAAATCAACGACCTTGGAGGAAGGCTCCGTGTCCGTCAGTGAGTAGTTTTGAACTCGATGGTTGCGAGTCCTAACATGCATGTATGCACCCATGCACAAACCTGCACGTACCCGCCTGAACGCCAAAAGAGAAGGCTGCACTGCACGCATGATACTACATGTTCATGGCCACCAAAATCACAGTACTCCTCATGCCGCGCGTACATCACGACACGGCCATAATCATCTCGTTACCCACTCCTTCCACCGCCACTGTTCATGCTCAGCCAACTGTTCCGTGTGCGAGCCCAACTCGTGCCGCGGCAATGGCCGCTGTACAATTGACCAAAACGGATTTCGCCCAAGCTGCTTCTGTAACTTTGGTTACTCCGGCGCCGACGTGAGTGCACATCGTTCTCGTGATAAGTTGAAATGCACACACACACACACACACACACACACACACACACACACACACACAAGCACAAGCACGAGCACAAGCACAAGCACAAGCACATGCACATTTACATGGGTGCTTGTGCACACATGTGTGCGCACACACAAGTACATGCATGTACACATATCTTCGTTTGGACACACATCTCCTCGGAACGTGTGTCTGCATCCATCTGTGCATTTCTAACATGTGCACCCCTTTGTCTCTGTGCGCTGCTTGCCTCCTCCCTCTTGGCAGTGCTCTGTGAACTGGCTGGCCATTGTCTTGGGCACGGTGCTTGGCGGCGGCTCCATTGTTGCCATCGTCTTCCTCACCATTCGCTACTTCCGCAGGACCATTGTGTAAGTCACACGTCGCTGTCCGCTTTGCGTGTGTGTGTGTTTGCGTGTTTCTGTGAATGTCAGTGTGTGCATGTGTGTGTGTGTGCATCGTGTGTGTGAATGCGTGTGCGTGTGCATATGTGTGTGAATGCATGTGTTTCTGTGTGTGTCAGTGTGTCTCTGTGAGTGAATGCATGTGTCTCTCTGTAAGTGAATGCATGAGGAGCCTGTGGGCATGTACGTCTACCTTCCATTGGAACATGGGTGCTCATGTCTTCACATTTGCCGTGCGACCGTCCCTCCTCCGCAGCCAAGCGAAGAACGACAGTGCACTGCACCAGAAACTGTTGGCCGAAAGCCAAATCGAGCTGTCACTGCTAGGTGCGACATGCACGTGTGCATGTGCCTGCTGCCATACGTGTGTGCATGTGTGACTGTGGTTGCTGGTGATGACTGCAAGACGTGCTCGTTGCGCACGCTTGTGTATTGTCATGCTCCCTGTCTTCACACGACTGTAGTCACAACAACGGTGCGCTGTCGTGCATGGGTGCATACTGACCCTCGTGTGTGTGTGTGTGTGTGTGTGTGTGTGTGTGTGTGTGTGTGTGTGTGTGTGTGTGTGTGTGTGTGCGTGTGCTTCGCTCTTTATACCAGAACGCGCGTGGGAAATCGATGTGGAAGACTTGACGCTGTATGAGCAGATTGGCGAGGGCGGGTACGGCGAAGGTGAGCATGTGTACATGCTCCTTCGCTTGTATGAGGGGGCGCGTGTGCATGCGTGTGTAAATGTGTGTGTGTGTGTGTATGCGTTTTTGAAAAATCTGCAGAACTGTCCAAAGAGCGCATTCCTTGTTCCCGTTCACCTGCACACCGCCTCACGAATTCGCCACCGCCATGTGTGCACGTGTTGTGTGTGCGCTTTGCATCAGTGTACCGCGCGCTGTGGAACGAGAGCGTGGTTGCGTTGAAGAAGTTGCGAACGGCGATGGCCATGCTCGATTCGTTCTTCGTCGACGAATTCCAGACTGTGCGTTGGCGGTGGCAAGGGGATGGGGGCTGAGGGAGAGGAGGGAAGCAGTGTGTAAGAAGGAAGATGATGTGTGTTTGCAGAGTGTATGGTCGCGGTGGAAGATGTGTGTGTGTATGTGTGTGTGTGTGTGTGTTTGCTACGATGCGGTTTGAGCTTCGCACTTCCTCTATTTTGCTCGTTCACATGTCGCTCGTGCGCCGTCACCACCACCACCATCACCGTTGTCACCACCAGGAGGTGCGGCTGCAGCGCACTCTTCGCCACCGCAACGTCGTCCTCTTCTTTGGCGCCGGCGTCTTTCCCGACGGAAACCCGTTCCTGGTGAGACAGCATCACATGGTGGGATAACCCACAACTGCAGAGGGACATGAACTTGTATTCCTGTTGCTTGTTTTCAAACGCTTCTGGCAGATGCTTGATTTCAATTCTGTCACACACACACACACACACACACACACACACACACACACACACACACACACACACACACACACACACACATACACACACACACACACACACACACAGGTGACGGAGTACATGCGGCGCGGATCGTTGCAGCAGGTGCTGGCCAGCGCGTGGCCGGGTGGTGTTGACAGGAACGACGATGCTGTGATTGAGACAATCAACCCGGACGATCGCCTCTCGTGGGGGCTTCGACTCCAGTTTGCACGCGATGCAGCACGGGTGCGAACGTGTTTGTTGATCCTGCACAGCTTGCGTTGTGACAACTGCGCTGCGTTGAACGTCGTTGGTTTGTGCATGCGCCGTGTGGTGAAGGTGGTGCATCATGGATTCGCCCTGCCTCGCCGAGCTTACACATCTCTTTCGCTGGTGTGTCGCTGTGGTGGTCTTCTTTCATTGACTGTATCCTCGTCGTCACGGTCCACCATTGACAGGGGATGACGTTCTTGCACGAGCAGATACCGCCACGCCTTCATCGCGACATCAAGGTGTGAAATGGGCGCTGTTGTCACTGAAGTGTTGCACGCACGAACATGCGTTCATGACACACCACCCCCCCCTGAGGCAACGTGTCTTGCGTCAGTACACTGGCACACATGCGCTTGCTTACGCTTCAAACACAACACGCTGTGCACACGACGTCGCACTTGTTGTGTCTTCTTGCGACAGTCTGCCAATTTCCTGGTGTCGGATGGATGGACCGTCAAAGTCGCTGATTTCGTGAGTAGAGGCGCACCTTTGCCTGACAACGCGCTGCTGCTGCTGCTGGTGGTGGTGGTGGTGGTGGTGGTGGTGGTGTTGGTCGTGATGAGGATGCATTGAAGCTGTACTTGTTGTTGTCGTTGCTGTTGCTGGTTTGCTGTTGCGTTCGTTCCAAACTCGCCCCCATCATGAGTCGTTCTTGAATTGTGCAACGGTGCTGTTGTGTCACGCCAAATCTCTATTCCAGCTGCTCATGCACACGTGCTTCTTATGTGGTTCGTGCGTGCGTGCGTGTGTATATGCAGGGCACAACGACGATGATCAAGGAGTACAGGCCAGGGGCAGCCGGCAGTCGCCCCAGGTTGGCATGCGAGGGGTGCTTGAGTGCTTCTCATTGCGTATGTGTGTTTGTATATGTATATGCATGTGTATGTGTGCATGTGTATGTGTGCATGTGTATGTGTGCATGTGTATGTGTGTTTGTGTATGTGTGTTTGTGTGAATGTGCGTTTGTGTGTATGTGTGTATGGTACGTATGCGTGTATGTGTGTTTATGTGTGTTTATGTGTGTATGTACCAAGTGTGGTGCGGCCTCAAACTCACTTCACATGCGCGCTGATTCGTGCAGCGATGCGCACACGCTATGGCTGATTCACTGTTCACGTATCCACCCACGCCATCGCTCCCTTCTTCTGTCTGTGTTTGCGCTTGCAGCAGCTTTGCCCTGAACGACCGAGCAGAGCTGACCATGGGAGTGCGTTCATGCGCTTATGTCGTTCATGCGTTGTATCTACGAGCCCTGTATCCTCACTTGATTGTGGCGAAGCACACTGACCGCAATACCGCCGCGCCAACGCTTCACTTTGCCAGCACTCACTCATCCATCTCGTGTTTCCCATGCTCACTTCACCTACCACCGTGTCCTGTCACCATCATTGCCAACACCAACACCACCCCTCATGTGGCAGGTTGGCACCATCTGCTGGTGTGCTCCGGAGGTGCTGAGCGGATCGTCGCAGTACGGGTTGCCAAGCGACGTCTACAGCTTTGCCATTCTCCTCTTTGAGATTGAGACCTGCCGCCTGCCATACGAAGACATACCAAGGTGCGATGGCAACGAAGAGGAGAGAGGGAGAGAGAGGGAGAGAGAGAGTGTGTGTGTGTGTGTGCGTGCATGTGTGTGTGTGTGCGTGCGTGCATGTGTGTGCGTGTGTGTGTGTGCGTGTGTCATGTGATGCGATGTGTCATGTGATGCGATGTGTCATGTGATGCGATGTGATGTGATGGTGCTGGTCGCTTGAGCACATCACGGAACTCAACCGAGTTCGGTTTCGCTTGCGTCCTCTGATTGCGCACGCCCATACCCACCACCCCATGCGCTCCAATGTGCTCCACCTCACATTCTCTCCATCTCATCTCCACCACGCAGTGTGCGCACCATTCCGTCATTGGTGATCAGCGGCACACGCCCCACGCTGCCAGAGCCAATTGTCACCCGGCCATACGCACGCGAGTTCCGCGAAATCATGGCGCAGGTGCGTGCAAGCGTTGGATGTGTTCTGTGCTCGTGTGTGAGCTTGGATGCGCAGTCCATCTCTCTCTCTCTTGCAATTCTTCTTGCTCCTCACGCACACATGCACACGCACGTGTACTCGCGCGCACACACACACTGGCACTCATACTCACACACACACACACACGCGCGCGGTCGCGCGCACATTCACATGCACATGCACACATATGCACAACCATGTCTTTTCTCACGCCCTGCAAGTGCTGGGATGGAGAGCCGTCAAAGCGGCCCGCGTTCAGGGAGGTGCTTGAGGTGCTGGAACGGCTTGAGGTTGACGTGGTGCTGCCGTCATTCCCTGATGACAGCGCCAAAGCAGCGAGCCAAGGAGTACCAGATCACGCCATGCATTCTGGCACACACGATAGCAACAACAGCAAGAGTGGCAAAGGTGGCAGTGGCGTTGATGGAGGGCAGTTGCCAAGCGTCCTTCCACCAGATGTGCGGCACAGGCGCGCAGACAAGTACCACACCCTCACGCCTTCGTTCTCGCCCCACTCAACCATGTAGCTCTGCTTGCTTGGGCAATGTTGTAAGACTGCACAGCACCTGCTGCATCCCTCTAAGCGACCTTTGCATTGTGTATGCGTACTCTGTGTGTGTGTGTTTGTGTGTGTGTGTGTGTGTGTGTGTGTGTGTGTGTGTGTGTGTGTGTGTGTGTGTGTGTGTGTGTGTGTGTGTGTGTGTGTGTGTGTGTGTGTGTGTGTGTGTGTGCGTACTCTTGTGTTTGCGCTTCAGTTCGCTCAAATGACGCCATTGATGAGTCATCGCGACGTTTGTTAATATACCGGCAAATATTCCGTAGCCTCTCCGAATTGGAGCACGAAGCACGTTGCGCATTCAAACACACACACCACGCTCACCATCCAACCTTCCATCCATCCAGCGACCTGAGCTTTGCTGCGACAGCAGGGTGGTGTCCAGTGAGACGTTGAGGTTCCCGCGTGTTGTGTTGGGGTTTGTTCTTTGTTTTCATTTTTCTCTCCCCCCCCCCACACACACACACAAACGGTCCGTGTTTAATCTGCACAAACCAATCAAGAAGACACTGAACGGAGCAACATGTCTATCGGCCTGTTGCTGTGGAAGAACTTCACGCTCGCGCGTCGAAGACCAGTGCGTGTTGTCATGCCATGCGTCCGCGCGCACGCGCGCGTGTGTGTGTGTGTGGTGGTCGTGCGTGTGTGAACTACATGCGTGTTTGATTTGGGTGTACGTGTCTAATCTGGACACACGCTCATTGTGATGTCCGTGTGCTGCTGCTTGTACTGATGCTTGTTCGGTTGCCGCTCATCAAACGCGACCATCACGCACACAACTTCAGTGGGCGACAGCGTTTGAGATCATCCTGCCCATCGCGTTCATGTGCATCCTCGTCGGTGTGCGCCAGTCGACACTGAAGAAAGCCAAGCACGAGGTCAGTAGCGTTTGCTGCCAATGTGTGTATGCGTGTGCATGACATGCGTGTGCAAGAAGCACGTTTTAGTTTTGGCACTCATCAGGCACACACGTTTCCTCGATGGCAGTGCGTCGGCGGGTGCGTGTATGATGAGTTCTCGCCCAGCAATACCGGTATCATGTTACCACCCTGCCCGAAAGGATGGACGGCAAGTTGCACATGCCGCTGACATGCCTCTGACCGTCTCGAGTACAGTGGTGTCATTGTCCCTGTCTACATTTGGGTGCCTTCTGCAGGGCTTGTGGAACATGCCACTTACATCACCCTCCTCTCTTCCCCTGTTGCATCAATTTCACACTTCAGATGTACTACACCCCAAACACGCCAAACGTGACCGAGATCATGTCCTCCACTGCCGCGTACCTTGGTGCGTGACCCTACCACCCCTCTCTTGCTCGTGCTGCTATGACTGTTAGTCGTGGTGGTGATGTTGCTACTGCTGGTGCTGCTGCTGGTGATGTTGCTACTGCTGGTGCTGCTGCTGGTGTTGCTGCTGCTGTCACCATGTGCACTGTTTTGTTTTGTGTCAGTGTTTCATGCTTGCGTACCTTGGCACCCAGCCTCTCCCTCGCTCCCTCGCTCCCTCGCTCCCTTTGACCCTCACCCAACAACATGACGCGCATCGCAGCCACGTACTCTGACAACATGACGCTGAGCGCCATGAAAGGGTTCGCATCCGAGGACGCGATGGTGTCTGAGCTCGTCAGCATCGGCAGCGGGTGCAAATTCGGCGTCGTCATGTCAAAGGTGAGCAGCACTTGGGCTGTGACGTGTGATGCTCGTGTGTGTGCATGTGTGCATGTGTGTGTGCATGTGTGCATGTGTGCGCACGCGCGTGTGTGCATGTGTGCATGTGCGTGTGTGTGTGTGCTATATGCATGTGCGCGTGTGTGTCCCTGCCTTTGTCATCGTGTTTGCGCGTATGTAACGGGAGCATTTCAAGACAATCATGGCGTTTGTACTCGCCCTAGCGATGCTCGTTCAGCTCACCCGATGCCACTGCTTCTTCATCTTCATCCTCCATCACAACCACGCACCCCGTCCTCCCTCCCTCCGTGTCTGTGCACGTGGTTACATGACTGTTGTGCATGTGCAGCCGACTACGGACACGTATGACTACACGCTGCGCTTCGACTCGACGCCCGGCGGGTACGATGTGAAGGCCTCCTTTGGCTCGCGCTGGATGACAACCATCTCCTTTCCGGAGTTTCAGCTTCTTGGTGAGACGCACGCGCGTGTGGCTGGATGGAGAGGTGGAATGGAGATGTGTGTGTGTGTGTGAGTGTGGGTGAGTGTGAGTGTGAGTGTGGGGGGGGGGGGAGAGGTTGTGTGCGTCTGCCTGTGCGTTTGTGTGTGTGTGTGTGTGTGTGTGTGTGTGTGTGTGTGTGTGTGTGTGTGTGTGAGTTAGTGAGTGGTGATTGATGGAGCGTGTCTGTATGTGTGTGCGTGTGCGCGCGCACGTGTGTGTTCTTACGTGTGCTCGTGCTCGTTGTGGCTGCATTTGCTCATGATAACCACTCACTGGTCATCGTACACCATCACCATCACCATCACCTTGGTGCATCGTGACGACAACGCGCCAATCTCAATCAGGCCCGCGTGATGACAGCGATTTGCTGAGCGCGACGTACGGCAGCTCCCCCGGTTATGCGCAGTACGGATTCACCCAGGCCCAGCATGCCATCAACATGTGCGTGCGATGGCTGCTGTAGTGTGTGCTTGATGCTCTCTTTGTTGTGATGCGGTTGCATTGGTCTCGTTTGGTTTCTCGTGTCGCGTGCATGACCCTTGCATCCCACATTCGCACACCCGTGGCGTGGTGTTCACCTCCACACACACACACACACACACACACACACACACACACACACACACACACACACACACACACACACACACACACACACACACACACACACACACAGGGCCATCGCCAATGCGACGGGGCTGCAGGATGTGGTGGACACGCTGTCACGCGTTCGTCTTCAGCGCATGCCGTATCCAGGTCGGCTGGCGTGTGGCATGTGGCATCTGCTTACTCTGTCTGTTCCGTGTGTGTGCGTGTGTGTGTGTGCGTGTGTTCTTGTGAGTATGCGTGTGTGCGTGCGTGTATGCAAGTGTGCGTGCATTCTTGTTTCTGTGTGCGTGTGCGAGTGCAGGCAACCTTGTGGTTCGTACATGAACACCACAGCCTGTCACAGCCGTGCTCACACGAATTTTGACTTTGCCTGTTTCCCATTCACCACCAGAGTACCTGGATGACGGGTTCCTGTACGCCATCAAGTTTGGTCTCCCACTCCTCCTCATGATTGCGCTCCTCTTCACAGCGCTCACCGTCGTCAGGGTGCGAACACAATCACACGCAGTCCGCACATGCACACATGCAATTGCGTGTCGGTGTGAGCGGCCCAGGTTGCCGTGCTGTGTATCTCCAGCGATTTTGGCACATGGTGTGACATGGCACTGCTGCTTCTTCAAACGCTCACTCGTGCATGTTTGTGTGTGGGTGGGTGTACATTTGTCTGTGCATGTGCGTGTGCGCGTGTGCGTGTATGTCTTTGATGCCTTTGCCTGTGTATATTCGTTTGTTACTCCAACAGAACATTGTGCACGAGAAAGAGCGCCGGCTGAAGGAAAGCATGAAGATGATGGGGCTGAAGAATTGGAACCACTGGCTCGCATGGTTCATCCAGGCTTTCTCCTTCCTCGCCGTGAGTCGGGGGTGCATCCATGCACACACGTACACACACATACACACATACCTCTACATGCATACACACATACATACACATACACATGCACACATACACATACACAACGCATGAACACGGAGGTGTACACGCGTGATGAAGGTTACCCTTTCCCCTTCCAAGAATGCTCATACTGATACTGCTGCTGTGTGTCTCATGTACACTTGTGCGCGCACATCAGGTGTCAATGACTGTGATTGCGTTTATCTGCAAAGGCGGACAAGTCCTGCAGCACTCGGATCCAACCGTCATCTGGGTTTATCTCCTCGGTAAATCGGACACACACACACACGTACATTTGCACGCACGCACGCACAGAGAGAGAGACAGAGAGAGGGGGGAGAGAGACAGAGAGAGGGGGGGGAGAGAGACAGAGAGAGGGGGGGGGGAGAGACAGAGAGAGAGTGAGGGAGGGAGGGAGAGAGAGAGAGACACACACACACAGACGCACACACAGACACACACACAGACACACGACGGCCTGATGCTGCTTTGCATTGCCCGTGTACTCACGCCCGTGTGGCATGGTTGGTCGATCATGCCAATCGCGATTTGCAGCGTTTGCGCTCGCAACCGTTAACCTGTGCTTTCTCATCAGCGTGTTTTTCACCAAAGCAAGCACGGTATGTGTCCTGCTCCCCCCCACGCTTTGAACCGCCACGTCCACTGCACATACGCTTACATATGACACCTACAAGCACGCTTTTGTCTGCACATGTGCACACAACTGCTCCTCTGAACCCATTCCCACGACACCTCCATCTGTGTGTGTATGTGTGTGTGTGTGTGTGCAGGGCGCTGCTGCTGGTGGCATCATCTGGTTCTGCACATACGTGCCGTACATGTTTATTGGGCCGCGCTACCAGGCCATGTCGTTCTCAACAAAGCAGTCCTCCTGCTTCGTCTCCACCACCGCCATGGTGCGACGGCTTTCCTGCATGATGCCCTTTATGCGTGCGTGTGTTTGTGCGTGCGTGTATGTTTGTGTGTGCGTGCGTGCGTCCGCCTGCTGCTCGTCTGTCTGCCTCTGTTTGTTCGCATGCCAACAACACACAACGTGACTCATGTGCGTGCATGTGTATGTGTTGATACAGGCGATTGGCGCTCAGCTGATTGCGGAGTTTGAAGGTCGAGGCGATGGCGTGCAGTGGGCGACGCTCACCGACCCGGTCTGTGATCCAGTCCATGTCTGATCGCCTGTAACAACACGCCACGTCACTACACGCGCTGTTTTCAAGCCTGCGTGCACCGCTGCTGTCACCGCCGTCACCACCATCACTGCCACCACCACCATTGCCATACCCTACATCGTCATCATGATTATCCTCATCATCAACACCATTGTCACGTCCATTGTTGTCATGATGCGCATAGGTGAGCGCTGACGATCCGTTTACCTTTGGCACCATCATCGGCATGCTTCTCTTCGACTCCATCGTTTACGCCGTCCTCACCTGGTGCGACATATGCTCATGCATCTCTCATCTGTGCATGTACCCTGTACGTGCTTGTACGCTTCTTGGTTGTGCCTGCACATTGCAGCAGTGATCCTGTACTGCATCCGTTTTTGCGATTCCATTCACCATTCACCACGTTCTCCTCTCTACGCAACTCACGCCCACAGGTACATTGAAGCCGTGTTCCCAGGGGAATACGGCATTCCCCTGCCATGGTACTTCCCGCTCACGGTGCGTTCGCGATGTGCGCGGGTGTCTGAGTGAGTGCGCGGGTGTCTGAGTGAGTGAGTGAGTGAGTGAGTGAGTGAGTGCGTGTGTGTGAAAGAGAGAAGGTGTTTTTAATGAGAGGGAGTGCAGGAAGCGCGGAGTCTAACAGCAAGAGACAAGAGACGAGAGGAACAGAGACCGTGTGCATATTTTGTGTTAATGCGCAACGCAACAACCTTTGCACCTCACTTTTTGTTTCCTCCTCACGCCGGCTCCTGCACCCCCTGTTCTCGTCATCGTCCACCACCGCTGTTTAGAAATCGTACTGGTGCGGCGCCACCCTCGCTGCCGAGCACGACCCTCTCATGGTGCGACCGTCATCGCTGGCCTGCACACGAAATACGTCGCTTGATTGTGTCTTGTCAGCTCGCAATTACGCCGATGAACACACACACACACATACCCAAGACTTGTGAGCTGCACACACACACGCGCGCACATGCACGCGTTCACACACATTCACGTAAACATGCACACATTCGCACACACACATATACACACACACGCACACACACACACACACACACACACACACGACTGTGTAGGGCAAAGGCGTTGCTGTGAATGCGGACAACTTTGAGGCCGAGCCGGAAGGGCTGCACGCCGGTGTGCGCATCCAGGACCTTCGCAAGGTGTTTGGCACCAAGGTGGCGGTGGCTGGCACGCGGCTGAACATGTATGAGGGGCAGATCACCGCCCTGCTTGGCCACAACGGCGCCGGCAAGACAACAACCATGTCCATGCTCACAGGTATGGGGAACACGCCGATGCGTGTCTTGTGACATGTGTACGTTTGTGTGCATAGGTGTGCATATGTGTGCTTGTGACAGCTTATGACTTACGGCAGGCAAGCAGGATGAAGGTGTTCGATGATGAAGCAATCTCGCTCACAGTGATCCTCCCCCTGACCCTCACACACACACACACACACACACACACACACACACACACACACACACACACACACACACACACACACACACACACACACACACACACACACACACACACACAGGTCTGTATCCGCCAACGTCTGGAACAGCGATTGTGAACGGACACGACATCCGCACAGATATCAATGGCGTTCGTCGCTCCCTCGTAAGCGCTCGCACCACACGTTCTTGTGCTTGTGCTTGTGTGTGTGTGCTTGTGTGTACGTGTTTGTGTTGGTGATGGTGCTGTTGTTGATGCTTGTGCTTGTGCTTTTGTTATTCTGTGCACCACCGTTCATGTCACAACATGCCAGGAGTGCGAGTCGTGCGGCGCACTTCACTTTCCTTCAACACCACACAACAAACTGCTGCTCACTTGCGCAATTTCCTCCTTGTGTGTGCGCGCGTGTGTTCAGGGCATTTGTCCCCAGCACGACGTGTTGTTTGACACGCTGACGGTGGAGGAGCACCTTGCCTTCTTCTGCAAACTCAAGGGCGTGCCCAAACCGGAGATCCAGACCCACATTGACGAGATGATCGAGGTGCGTGCGTGCACGTGCAGGTGACATCGTACTCGCACACGGTTTACGCAACGACAACACATGTGCATGCACATGCTGTACGTGACACGTGTAGGCAGTGTACTCACATCACTACACACCCACCCACACCCACACACATACACCCACATACACCCACACCCACACCCACCCACCCACACACACACACACACACACACACACACACACACACACACACACACACACACACACACACACACACACACACACACACACATACATACATACACCATGAACACGCACACACACACACGATCCCCCCCGTTGTTTGTTGCGCAGTCGCTGCAACTTCCAGACAAGCGGCACGCAATGGTGAAGACTCTATCGGGCGGAATGAAGCGCAAACTCAGCTGTGCAATTGCAATTGTTGGCGGCTCGAAAGTGGTAAGATGCTCGTTGCTGGACTTTGCTCCGTGCACTCCACTCCATACAAAGCGCGTGATGCGCTCAGCGCAGAGCTGATTTGCATTGCTGTTGTTTCGCACACAGGCATACATAGACATGCACACTTTGAACATGCATGCAGGCTTGCGTATGCACGCACATCGACTCCGCACACACACACACACACACCAACTCCTGATTTGAGACATTGTCGTCCCATTGCCACTGACACCCGCGCCACCATCACTGTCGCTGCGGGGCAACAGGTGTTTCTCGATGAGCCGACGAGCGGAATGGACCCGTCGGCAAGGCGCGCAACGTGGGATCTCCTCTCAAAGTACAAGCACACCTGCACCATGATTCTCAGCACACACTTCCTTGACGAGGCAGACTTGCTCGGAGACCGCATCGCCATCATGTCAGAGGTATTTCACCCGCCTGCCCGAACCTGCGTACGCGCGTGTATGCATGCGTTGTGTGAGTGGGAGAGTGTATGCTTTTTGTTTTGTGTGAGTGTGTTAGTGTGTGCGTTTTGTTTTGTGTGTGAGTGCGAGTGAATGTGTTTGGGTTTTGTGTGAGCGTGTGTGTGAGCCACGTGTGTGCTTTTGGAAGGTGTGGGCTCGTTCACATGCACATGCGCTCATTATGTGGACAATGACGCCTGTTCCACCGGCCCTCATACTCTACCACCACGCCCTCACCCCCACCTTCCTGGCGACTGTTTTCAGGGCGTGGTTGAATGCTGTGGCAGCAGCACATTCCTCAAGTCTCGCTATGGTGTTGGGTACCACATGATTGTGGTCAAGGACAAGAACTGCAAGCCAGACACCATCGCCGCTCTCATCAAGCAACACGTGCCAACAGCCACCCTCGAGGCCGATGTGCGTTGCTCACTGCTCTTTTTGTTGAGTGCCTGCGCTGTTGGTGTGAATGTTGAATTGTGTGTGCGTGCGTGCGTGCATGCGTGCGTGCATGTGTGTGTGTGTGTGTGTGGTGGGGGGGGGGTTGCTTTGGTATGCGTCCCTTTCCGTGCACTCATCCACTGACAACATAACATAACACAACTCAACTCTTACCCTGCTTGTTTTTTGCTCGGCCAGATTGGGGCGGAAATGACGTTCCTGCTGCCTCGCACGTGCAGCTCTGCGTTCCCGCAGCTTTTCCATGAGCTCGAGCAGCAGAAGCAGGTCCTCGGTCTCCTCAGCGTCGGCGTCTCCGTCACCACCATGGAGGAGGTTCGTGCTCCAGCGTGTGGCGTGATGGTGGGGCCCTGGGTGTGTTCGTGCGTAAGTGTGTGCTTGCGTGTGTAAATATGCGTGTGCGTGTGTAAATATGCGTGTGCGTGCATCTCTGTGTGTCTGTGACTTGCGTGTGTGCTGGACGTTGGGGCCAGTCCCCCCCCCCCAAATTGCAGTTCCCACTCTCTGCCCCAGCCCTCTCCTTCTCACGTCCCGCCATCCTCCCCTCGGCCTCCAACTGACCACCTGACAGGTGTTTCTCAAGGTCGGCGAGCGCGCTGCCGCCGCCACATTGACCAATGAGAATGAGGACGCGGGCAGTGCAGACAAGGATGGCCTGCTGGCACACCGTGGCCACGGCAGCGTTTCGAGCAGGGGTGGATATGGCGCACTGACGACTGACGGTGATGAAGTTGCTGTCGGTGGTGGCAGCGGCAACAATCCCAACGGCGGCTACACCAGCGATCTGCAGTCAGATCTGCATGCGTTGGATGAGGAGAGCAGCGACGAGACAGCGCTGCTGATGCCCGTATCCGCATACGACCGCCTCAACACGGGGTTCAAACTGAAGACCCAGCAGCTGCACGCCATGCTTGTCAAGCGCATGCTCCACTCGAAGCGAAACTTCACCGCCGTCTTCACGCAGCTGCTGCTGCCAATGGCCTTTGTCCTCATTGCGCTTGTTGTCGCCAAGACGTACCCTGGCCCCAAGGACGATCCAGCACGCCAGCTGTACGACTTCACCTCGTCCTACGGCCCAAACACGCTCCTTTACTCCTCACAGTTTGGCTCCAACGACTCGTCAACGTTTGTGCCGGCGACACCCGTCACGCAGAAGCTGGCAGGCAGTCTCCAACGCGTTGTGCTGGGCGCATCGGAGACACCGGAGCAGCAGGCGTTTGAGGACATTGCCAAGTCAGGCATCTCCTTCAACGACACTGCCACGTTTGTGCTCAAGCTCATTGGCAACGCACCAGACAAAGTCGCCAAGTTCAACAAGAAGGTATGTGTGTGCGTGTGTGGGGCGGTGGGGATGGGAGGTGTTTGCGCGTGCGTGGGTGCATGTGCGATCACGTGTCATTTGCGCATTCCTTCCTTTCATGGACTTTAAACGACAGAGCGCACTTTGCATGTTGCTGTTCTTGCTGGCACTTGGCGAGTTTACAGACTCTTATGCACACTCACATACACTTACACTCATGCACACGCATGTATGTACCATCACACTCGTGCACGCACGCACGCACATTCATGCACAAATGCACGCACACATTCATGCACACACGCGTACACGCACACACGCACACAGGATCTGCTGTCTGCTGCGTTCCGGCCAACACCCAACTCGACGACTGTGGAGCCGCTAGCGCTGTTCAACGGGCAGGCGTACCACACCATCGTGGAGGCCTTGGGCATGGTTGACTCTGCGCTCCTGCACGCATTCTCGGACGGCAGCGTCAGCGTGCGGGCCACCAACTTCCCGCTACCGCGCTCGCCACTGGAGAAGGCACAGGACCAGGGCGACTCGCAGCAGGGGTTCTACATTGCGTTCACCATCCTCTTTGGCATGGCGTTTCTTGTATCGAGCTTCGTGCTCTTCCTTGTTGTGGAGCGCGCCAACAAGGCCAAACACATTCAGTTTGTCAGTGGTGTGGACATTGTCTCGTATTGGGCGGCCTCGTATGCGTGGGATGTGCTCAACTTCCTGCTGCCGACGGTGGGGTGCATCATCCTCTTTCTCATCTTCAACGTGCAGGAGTATGCGGAGGAGCGCCTGGGCTACGTTGTGCTTCTCTTTGTGCTCTACGGCTTCGCTGTCATCCCCACCATGTACCTCGCCTCCTTCCTCTTCTCCACCCCGTCCAAGGCATACACCATGATGACGGTGGTGAACATTGTCACGGGCCTTGCCGCAATGCTCACCGTGTCCATCTTGGAGACGGTTGAGCCCTCTGTGGCCACCCAGCTCAAGTCCGCCTTCCTCTTCCTGCCAAACTACTGCTTCGGTCAAGCGCTCTCTGACATTTACAACAACTATCAGAGCCTTCAGGTCATCGAGCAGCTGCTTCCGCTCTGCCGGTGCGTTTTTCGCCAGTACACTTTACACCTGCTGCCTGCCCACCTTGTGTGTTGTGTGTTGTGTGTGTGTTTGTGTGTTGTGTGTTGTGTGTGTGTGTGTGTGTGTGTGTGTGTGTTTGGCATTCGCTTTGACGCTGGCTCTTATTGTGGTTGTGTGCTGCTTTGTCGTGTTCTTATCTGTTTCACCTATTTTCGTGCGAGTGTTTCCACTGTCCTTTCTGCTTCCACGCAATAATACCTCATGCATGCACCACGTCTGCTGACCACATTTCCTCATTCGCTTGGTTGCGTTTTGTGTTGAACCTGCAGCATGTTTGCGCCCGGCGCGAGCATTGACACGTGCTGCAACCTTGCTGAGAAGATTCCATCCAAGGATCTTCCATTTCAGCTGCAGTGCCAGACCGACTTCCTGTCCATGTCCCTCCCTGGCATTGGGCGCTACGTGCTGTGTCTTGTTGCGCAAGCCATCGTCTTCTTCCTCCTCGTCCTTGCCGTTGAGGCCAAGCTGGTGCGTGCTGTCGTGAACATGATCATCAAGCCGCCAGAGGCAAAGTCTGGCCTTCCTGATGGCGAGGACGAAGATGTGCGACAAGAGCGTGAGGACGTGCTGCGAAAGGTTAGCGGGGTAAGCACCTGCCTTCTGTGTCTGTAAGCGTGTGCACGTGCTTGTGTATGCATACATGTAAGCCATAAGTGCGTGAATGCTCATGTGCAATTGTTTTCGTATGCACATGCCTATTACGCGGCCAACCCACGCACGCACACGTATGCACACCACACACACACACACACACACACACACACACACACACACACACACACACACACACACACACACACACACACACACACACACACACGGCCCTCTCATTCTCCCCCTCACCCTCACCCTCTCACACATTCACCCTCTCCGCACTCTTACCCCACTCCACCCATCATGCCCTTCGACTGCATTCCAGCTGCAATCGCACATCCGCTCCACCAACTCCTCTGTGAGTGAGATGCACGAGCTGCCTGGCTCCCGCGACGTGCTGCTCGTCAACAACCTGAGCAAGACCTTCAGCATCAGCAAAGGCGCGTGCGGCTCCGAGCCAAAATACGCGGTGGACAGGCTCTCCTTTGCCGTGCCCAACGGCCAGTGCTTTGGGCTGCTTGGCGTGAACGGCGCAGGCAAGACGACGACGTTCCGCATGCTGACCGGTGACGAGGTGATGACTGCCGGTAGTGCGCAGCTCAACGGGTTTGACATTCGCACGCAGATGGCGCAGGCGCGACAGCACATGGGCTACTGCCCGCAGTTTGACGGCCTTATTGAGCTCATGACGGGCCGGGAGCTGCTGGTGATGTACGCGCGCCTGCGCGGTGTCCCTGAGCAAGGCATCCCCTCGCTCGTCAACGACCTGATTCACGAGCTCATGCTGGAGAAGCACGCCGACAAGCCGTGCGGCACCTACAGCGGTGGCAACAAGCGAAAGCTCAGCACCGCAATTGCCCTCTGTGGGCCGTCCCCGGTCATCTACCTCGATGAACCAACCACAGGTGTGTGTGTGTGTGTGTGTGAAGTGAACGCGCTGTGGTGAAGCCGTAATGACATGCTGACGCCCCCCCCCCCAACACACACGCACACACACACACACACACACACACACACACACACACACACACACACACACACACACACACACACACACACACACACACACACACACACACACCCGCGGCTGCCGAACACTCGGCAACTTCTCACTCCACGTGCTTTTTCCTCGCTGCTCATCCTCCGCCTTCCCTAGGTATGGATCCTGGCGCGCGCCGGTTTTTGTGGAACACGCTGCTGCGTGTGATGCAGTCTGGGCGAAGCATTGTCCTCACCTCCCACAGCATGGAGGAGTGCGAGGCTCTCTGCACACGCCTTGCCATCATGGTCAACGGGCGCTTCCAGGTACTTACCTCTGCGTATGTGGATGCTAGTGAATGCTTTTAGGTGCGGGTGTGGTGTCGCCATTGGCTGTCCCGTTGCTCGGCCACTGTGCCGGCACCTTGTGTTGCCTGATACTTGCCCTTCGCCGCCCACCGCACTCACCCACTTCCCATGGGCGGCTATGCCTGTGTGTATGCGCCTCTGTGTGTGTGTGTGTGTTGTGTGTGTGCGTGTGCGTGTGTGCGTGCGTGTGCGTGTGCGTGTGCGTGTGCGTGTGTGCGTGTGTGCGTGTGCGTGTGTGTGTGTGTGTGTGTTTGTTGCTTGCAGTGCATCGGAAGCCTTCAGCGATTGAAGGACCGCTTTGGACGCAGCCTGAACGTGGTCATCACAGCACCCCGTGAGAGCATGGCGCAACTCAAGGACTTTTTCGCCTCAAAGTTCCCCACCATGAACATTACCGACGAGCATCAAAACCAGGTGCGTGTGTGTGTGTGTGTGTGTGTGTGTGTGTGGTCTCCTGCTGCATGTCGGATACATAGTCTTGCATGCATGTGCCCAGCTCCTGTGCCCTGTACCCCATGTGTGTGTGAATCGATGGCTGAAGACTCAAAGCAAGGTCGCGCACTTACCGCGTCGCATTCACCTTGTTCCCTGCTTTGCTTTTCGTTCCCCCCCCCCTGAACACCCTGCCCTGCCCTGTCTTCCTGCGCAGATAACGTTTGAGCTGTCTGGTGAGCGCAAGTGGTCGTATGTGTTCACGGTGATGGAAGAGGCGAAGCAGAACTTCCCGATCCGTGACTACAGTGTGAGCCAGACCACGCTTGAGCAAGTGTTCCTTCGTTTCGCAAAGCACCAGTTTGATGAGTAGTAGCGACAGCATTCCTTTCCGTTTTCGGCACAGCAGCACACCTGCTAGTCCTTGTTTGTTCGTTTGCCTAAAGGTGTCTCCTGTTCTGTTGTTCTCTTGCCTGCCCCCCCCCCTCCAATTGCCGATTATGTAGCGTTGTTTCGCAGCTTGTTACCCACCATTGATTGCATCAAATGATTTGATGCATGTTCAACTCTTGATTTGATGCACATTAAAACGCTTAAGACGAGTTTCACAGTCGTCACGTCACAATCAGTTTTGGGATTTCGGCCTCACATGTACCTGATCCAATCACCCCAACGAATTACATGTTCTCAACAATGTGCACAGCAGCACAAGCTGTGCTGTGCTGCGGCAACCGCTACAAGTTCTTGCATCTCCCATCTTCATACGCACCACACAAGATGCAGATGCTCTTCCCCCCCCCCTTCTTCGAGTCCATTCACACACACACACGTTCACCCGCTGAACCGAACTACAGAACTCTGCCATAGTCATCAATAGCAGCGAGCAACTGTTTCGCCCCGTCGTCTTTCTTCCTCTTCCGTGCTTCATCACCTGACCCCTTCTCCTCTCCCCCTCCCCGGTAAAGCTGACGTCTCTTCCACCCGCAACCGTACCACGCGACAACATGCAGTCACCGTGCGTATTCCTGTCGGCAGAGCACATCGAAGCAGCGGCTGCAGCCGGCAGCTTGCGGAGGCAGCTTGAAGACCGTGGGCTGCACGTGTACTACGATGGCTCTCAGCAGCACCCAGACGCAGCAACGCAGGCCATTTCGCGGGCACATGTCATCATCATTCTTGGCACGAAGCAGTACGGCAAACGCACGTCGACGCTCTTCAACACGCATGAGGAGCTCCGTTGCATCTTGGAAGCGCAAAAGCCGGTCCTGCTGGTGCACATGTGCAGCAACTTCAAATACGCATCGACGCAGAGCCTGCTCTCGTTGACCCCGCACCACTCATTCGTGTGGTTGCCACATGCGGGCCAGGGCAGCAGTGCCGACACGTCCCCACCTCCACCTCGCCCGTTGCTCAGCACAATCGAGGGCATGGTCGCCGAGTATCACGGGACAGATCAGCTCCGACGACCCACCGAACAGGGCACGGGGCCCAAAACCACAAGGGCCGAGCACGTGCACTCACCTCTGCCCATCAGGCGCGTGGCCAGCCTCGGTGCCCTGCACTTTGGCAGCGGCAGGACCGCAAGCGGAGCCAAGCACCACGTTGACGGCATGTACCGGGACAAGCCCCACATGCACGACAGAGAAGGTCAATCCTCATCTCCAACTCACAGCAGCAACAGCAGCGGCAGCAGCAGCGGCAGCAGCAGCGGCAGTGGCGTCAACAACAACCACGGCGCCACTCCCAGCGACGAAGCGACACCCGTTGCTGGTGCCAGCAGAGAATTCGGCTGGGCCACTGCGGTGCTCAGTGGCGTGGTGCTCCACAGGAAGCAACATGATGTTGTGGCCACTGGGCTCAGTGCCCTCGTTGCCAGTATCAAAGACGGCAACGAAGAGCTGGCGTCGTACGTTGTTGGGCACGAGGGTGCTGCGGATGTGATCGTGGCAGCAATGCAGGAGCACGTGCATGACCTGGAGCTGCAGCGTGCAGCTACGTTCCTCCTCTGCCGCATGGCAGCAAGTGCAAAAAGGCTCACAGCAGCCGTCAGCACGACGGCACTCATGACACGTCTGGCGTCTCGCCATCATCCTCAACATCCTGTCCACAGCAGCGCTGGCAGAGTGCGGGACAGTGGTGCGTGCGGCCTTCCACGCGAAAGCGTGATGGCAACATTGCTGTCCATGTGTGCGCATCAAGAGGACGCTGTGTTACAAACCCTCGGCTGCGAATTGCTGTGCTCAGTGAGCGAGGAGTGCCCAGACATGCGCTCGCTCCTGTTCCAGCTTGGCGCCACCGACGTCCTCATCTCTGCCATGACGCAGCACCCAGGGGTCGGCTACTTGCAGCGGGCCGGCAGCACGCTCCTTCGCGACATTGTTCGGCACATGAAGCCAAGCCCTCACGTCGCGGCAAGCGCTGTTGCGGTACTGCACGCGGTAATGACCGCTCTGCGACTGCGTGTGCAGGACGTTGGCTTGGTGGATGTTGGTCTCGAATGCTTTGTTGCTTGCGTGGCAACCTTTCAAACATCCTCCTACATCGCCGAAACCACACACTGCACGGTGCGAGAGGCCCTGCTGCTGGTGTTGTCTGTGATGGCCCAGCACGCCGACAAGGCTGCCATCCAGGTGCAAGCGCTTGTTGTGCTGGAGAAGCTCATCCCGCTGATCAAGCGGGGCGATGCGGAACTTGAGGCGATGGTTCTGCGCAGCGCTGCCATGGCCATCAGCCACTTCCCCTCCAACAGGCATCTCCAGCAACACACGGAGCGCGTGCTGCGGTTATGCGCATAGGCTCGGCTGGATTGGATGTTTGCTCTCTTTGAAGTCTTTTGTGCACAGCTTGCTTGCAGGTTAGAAACACAGGCACGTCATGTGTCATGCATGTCATGTATTGGTACAATAAACGATCGCAAAGCAAGATGTAATCAAGGGGAGTGTGTGTAGGGACAGCAGTGGCATAGACGAGGAAAAGTAAACAGCAATGAGCGAAGCAGAGCGACAGCAAACAAACGACGCAGCTGCCGCCAAAAGCAGGAAGCATCAGTGTTTAAGTTACAACACAGAATACAATTAAGCAAAAGTCACAGCAGTCCCAAGCATTTCGCCAATTATTGTGCGTTTGGTGAGAGAATACAACAACAACAGCTAGCCAAACTACAGTAAGTGTGTGCGTGTGTGTGTGTGTGTGTGAATCAGCTACAGAGGGTCGGGGTTGTCGGTCAACAGTGCAATCAGCATGCTGTCAAAGCTGTGGCGGCCTTTGGCAGCTGTGAAGCAAGCCAGAATTGCATATGCGTTTGTATGAATGTGGGTTCGTGTCATGGAGGGAGTGCATGCTGACGTGAGCAACGGAATCAGGTTGAACTGGATTATCAACAGACTCCACACACAGACACAGACACAGACACACAACACACACACACACACAGCCACACGCACACAGACACAGACACACACACAGACACACACACACACCCGAAACTATATTCATGAATGCAAGTGGGGCGGCACCTTTGAGGATCCGCTCGTGCGTGTATCCCAGCTGCTGCAGGCGCGCGTACTCGGCGTCAGTAAAGCGATACGCAGCGCTCTGCCGCGACGCGTGCAGTGAGGACCCTGGACCAGACGCATCACGATGATGCCTCGGCTGCTGTTGGTGTTGGTGATGATGGGGAGGCGTCTGGTGCTGTAGTTCGTCGTCACTTCCATCCAGCAGGATCACATCGCCATCGTACGCGCCCTCCGGCCCCTGGCCGTGGTGCTTCTTCGGTGTGGCCGACGAGCGCGCTGGAGAGCGCCGCGTCTTCTTCTTCTTCTTCTTCTTGCCCGTCCTGCTCGCGTCGCTACCGCTGGGCGAAGCATCTGTCGTCTTGGCGTGCTTCGCGTGCACGTGTTGTTGCTGCGGCGACAGGGACGTGGGCTGGGAGTGCATGTGCGATGGATGCTCCGGGTGGTGCTGCTGTCGTTGTACCTGCTGCACCTGCTGTTGTGGAGCGGGCTCCTGCGTGTGGTGGTACTGCGCAAATACACCGCTACGGGTAGCGATGGGCTGCTGTTGGTGCTGTTGCTGGTGATATTGTTGGTGCTGGTGCTGGTGCTGGTGATATTGTTGGTGCTGTTGCTGTTGCTGTTGGTGGTGCTGGTGCTGGTGGCGGTGCTGTTGCTGCTGTTGAGCGGCGCTGTGTAGTGAATGTGGGTGTGGGTGTGGGTGTGGGTGTGGGTGTGGGTGTGGGTGATCTTGGGTCCGATCCATCATGGCGGAGGAAGTTGGGTCGCCTCTGCTTCGACGCCTGCTGTCAGCACCGTCATCGTCAATGACAACCACGTCCGTACCAGCGATCGTGGGGTATTGCGACACACGCATTTGCTGGTTACGTGGTGCTGCTGCATGGCTGGAACGGTGTGCGTGTTGCTGTGCAGCCATGGCCTGCTGCTGTTGTCGCTGCGCCATTGCCTGTTGTTGCTGGATGGCCACCGCTTGTTGCCGTGCAAGCTGCTGTTGCTGCTGTTGCGGTTGCTGCAATTGCTGGTAGTGGTGCATTTGCCGTTGGCGTTGCAGCTGCATCTGCTGCTGGAATTGCCGCTTGCGCTCCTTAATGACCTCGGACGGACGCACATCCGCCTGGAACGGCACTCCTGCACACGCGCACCAGAGCACAAACACAGCGAGGCCATGAGGCGGTGGCAGGGTCGACAGTGGGCTGATTGGGTCGAGACACGCCAAGTCAAGGTGCACAAGAGCCACAGCTGAGCGTGGACAGCAGAAAACACCACACACACACACACACACACACCATCGAATGCGAGCATTTCGGCCTTGTGGTCCTCGTAGTACCAGATGTTCTTGCTGCCAGTGAGTGCAGTGTGTGTACGGCAAAGGGAGTGGGTGTGAGCCGGTGCCATCACACACAAGCACAGTGCGCGCGTGTGTGCGTTTGTGCGTGTTTTCGCGTGTTTTGAAGATGAGAAGCAGGCGGTAGCACAGCAGCAACAGCACAGCAGCGATGATGGCCAAACAGACCTCGACACGAGCGGCTTGATGGCGGCGGAGAGGGAGTCCTCTGCATTGGCGACGAGGCCTAGCTGCTTGTGATATGTCTCACGACACATCTTCATCGCTTCGAAGAAATCACCGTCCCCACACCACAGCACAATCGTGTCGATGCCCGGCTTGAGCGCCACCTTGATCATGTGCGTGGCAAACGCCACGTCGACCCCTTTAAACGCAGCGATTTCGAGTGTACATGCGTGCGCGCGTGAGTGAGTGAGTGAGTGAGTGAGTGAGTGAGTGAGTGAGTGAGTGAGTGCGTACGTGAGTGAGTGAGTGAGTGAGTGAGTGAGTGAGTGCGTACGTGAGTGAGTGAGTGAGGGTTGTCGACATGGAACTAGTCAACGATGGCGTTGCTCGCCATGTCGAGACGCAAGAAAGCCGACTGAAAGGAGTCGCGGGCTCACCAGCTTGCATAAGGTTTCGATTCTGCGCGTGGCATCGGGAGCACGTTGTGGTCTTGTACTTGAGTGGAAGGATGTGACAAAACACCTGCGGTCATGACAAAAGCAAGCAACACACCTGTCGCTGTGAGTGGGCGTCGGGGTGCCCAGTCAAACGCAGGCAAACATGTGCGATCTCAACACGTGCAATCAATGACACTTGAAGCATACACACACACACACACACATACACACACACACGCCAACGCAAATACGTTGCGGCACGAGCAGCTAAACGCACGTGGGCTCGACGGAGCACCTTCACCAGGGTGACAAGCGATTTCTTGCCAGACTTTGAGATGCCGTGGTGTGCGGGTGAATCGGAGAAGTCTGCGTCAAAGTAGTGCAGCTGTCAGTCGTTTGGGGAAGGGGGTGGGTGGATGGTGCGATTGATTGCATCTCGTGAGTTCAGCGACGTTGGCAGGCTGTGTGAGAGCATTGAACGTGCTCTGTCGACACCACAGCGCGTAATATAGCTCTTACGACAAGTGCGAACGCTCAACCACACCCACACAGCCATCCACACCAACCGCACCCACACAGCCATCCACACAACCATCTACATAGCCATCTACACACACACACAGCCATCCACGCAAAATCAGCAGCACCTCCTCGAATTCGACGTCAAAGTCTTCGGCAATCTTGTGCATGATCCACTGGATCCGGTCGTAGTCGCTAAAGACGCTAGTGCTGTCTGCATTGCGCATGTATCCACCATCAATCATCAGCACCGCACGACGCTGCTCCCTCCGCTTACGGGGAGAGGCGCTGCTGTCATCCCCACCACCGCCACCGCTGCCACTGTTATCATCGTCCATGGTCTTTGCTGTCGCTGTCGCTGTCGTTGTCGTTCGTTTGTGGTGTCGTTCGTGTTGCAGAAAATCTGCGAACGATTTCAACACCTTTTTGCTGTGCGTGTGTGCGTTGCCGTTGTTGTTGTTGTCGTTCCATTTGCCAATTGTGTGTGTGTGAATGAGCGCCAGCAACGCCAGCAAGACAAGAGCTCAAGCAAGCAAGCAAGGCGCAAAGCAACACAACAGAACGGCTGTGAGGAGCCTTTTGCAACGCACGGGCAGGACACCAGCACCAAACAACCACAACACCAACACCAACCAGCAACCAAGTCATGCAAGGGGTGTTGAGCGTGATGGATCAAGATGCACTGCGTTTGGAGTGCTTTGTGTCAAGTGGGCGCGTGGACATGGAGAGGCTGGTGTGCCAGCTTCCACACGAGGAGAGCAAAGGGCAACCGCCACCCTTCTCCACGCGGGAGGAGCTCAGGCAGCATGTATTTGCAGAGCACACAAACGATCCCTTGGGCTGGGACGAGTGCAAGTGAGTGTGTGTTTGGAGGTTGTGTGGTGTTGGGTGGTGCTGCGCTTTGTTTGGTTGTGATTCTTGTTGTGTGTGCATGTGTTTGCACGTGTTTGGTGGTGGTGGTGGTGGTGGTGGTGGTGCTCCTGCTGCTCCTGCTGCTGCTGCTGCTGCTCCTGCTGCTGCATGCCTTTGCTTCGCTTGTCTGCTTGATTGACTGCTGCTTCACTGCGATCTCACACTGTTGCTGCTGCTGCTGCTGCTGCTGTTTCTTCCCCCTCTTCTGCGGCTGCTGCTGCTGCTGCTGCTTGTGCTGTGTCTGATCATGCCACAAACAAAACAGAAAGTGCAACAAGCGCATGAAAAAGTCCAGCTTCAAAGCGCATTGCCAGAAAGTGCATCTGCGCCTGGGCACAATCGAGTGCCCCGACTGCGCAAAGAGATTTTACAGCAAACACACCTTTGAGCGGCACAAGAACCTGCACACAAGTGAGTGTCGTGATTCTTGTCGTTGTCCGTTTTTGGTGCCGTTCCTTCCAGATGGCTCTCTTTGTTGCAAGATGACTCTGCTCAGTATTCGCTCCTTCGCTCCACCTTCCCAGCCACACACACACACACACACACACACACACACACACACACACACACACACAAGCATACATTGCTTTGCTTTGCGCAGCTCACAGCTGTACCTCCACTTGCACCTGCACCGTTCCTTGCAGAAGAAAAACAGTTTCGCTGCACCATGACTGGCTGCACGGGAAGCTTCGCCTCGTTCGAAAGCCTCGTGTACCATGCACGCAAGCACCACGGCGTCAACCTTCGCGCGCGCCACGTGCACTCCCCAGCCACAGCTGCCAGCATGGACGAGGCATTCTCCCCACAGCAGCACACGCAGCAGGGGCACGCCGACGCACAAGGGCAACATGGGCAGCACGGTGAATCCGGCGCCGCGTCTGGTGTGGCAGCACACGCTTCGGCACAGCACCAGCATCAGCAGCAGCAGCAGCAACATGAGGAGGAGGAGGAGGAGGAGGAGGCAGGCAGTACGCAGGGCCTGTCTGTGCAAGATGGTGGCATGGTTGCAGGCACAGCACCAGCAGCATTCCATCAGCAACAGCAGCAAGGACAAGAGCGGCAAGAACAGCAAGAACAGCAGCAGCAGCAGGAGCAGCGGCCTTCCTCGCATACGATGTCGTCTGTTGGCCGCGATATGCTGCTGCCACCGCTCGATACAGCCACGGCCGCGCCGCCAGTGCTGGCTGCCAATGGCGCCACTTCCACGGCAGCAGCTGCACCTTCGGTTGCAACAACATCAGTAGCACCAACAGCGAGCACCACAGCAGCGGCGGGAGCGGAGACGCAGGCACCAACGGCCACCAGCTCCATTCCTACCACCACGAGCACCAGCATCAGCAGCACGGCGGGCCCAAGCACTGGGGCATCAGACCCTTCCTCATCCACGCCGCTGATTGGCCAGCTGGCGTTCTCAGACACCAGCACAATCTCGCTCCCATCCCCGGCAGCCGCACCAACCAGCGTGGTCACGGCCGCCACTGCCAGCATGTCAGCCAGCACCATCCCGCTCTTGCCCATGCCACTCACACACGGCACCGCTGACGATACGCGCCAACAGCAGCAGCAGCAGCAGCAGCAGCAGCAGCAGCAGCAGCAGCAGCAAGAAGTGCAGCAAGAAGTACATCAGCAGCAGCATCAACAACAACAGCAACGTCACGCCCGTGGTTCCGTCACCCGCATTAGCGGGAATACAGCTGTTGGCAGCAGCAGGAGCAGCAGAGGCAGCGCAAGCAGCACACCCGGCCGCACTTATCCTTGCTTCTACTGCAACGAATCGTTTCCGGTGCGCCATCCTTCCGTGTGTGTGTGTATGCGTGTGTGTGTGTCTGTGTGTGTGTGTCTGTGTGTGTATGCAGCAGGGTGTGTACGAGACGAGGGTGGTTTGTGTACGCGGGTGAGCTTGGGCAATCTTGTGCAAGCTTG